TGCTAATTTATCATACTTTTTTGTCATCTCAATGTAGAATTTATAATGAAACATTGTATCTGTGACATGTCATTCACGCAATTTTTCCAACATTTTACGCTTTCTTAGCTTTAATACACCATCAAAATCATTCTCGAATATCTAAAATGTATGATTTGCGAAAATGCTGCAAGAATTAAACTAATCAAACCTATTTCCGTATTCGGCATTATCATCAAATCGTCATCGTCTTCCTGATCATTAACATAATTGATATATTGTGGCAAGGAATATGTTCGTCCGGATCCAACATCAAATATGAAATCCGATTGTTCTTCAATACTGCTTAACAAATCTGAATCTAAATAATTTATTTCTGATTATTTTCAAAAAAGAAAAAAAAGAAGTATGTGAAATAATATATATGTTTAGTAAATTCGATTTTCAAATTTAAACTTTTTAAATGTTGAAAAATTCGATCACTGAATAATTAATAAATTGATAACAACATATGGAATATGATCAATTAGTAAATGAGTTAACTGACAAATGAATTTTCTTTAACTGAACCAATTAGTTTAGGTATATCGGAAATGAATGATGCACTCTTTACTATTAATGTCAAATTTGCTACGAATTTAAAAATAATTCATTCTGGATATAAATTTATCAGTCACTATATGATTACCTATCAGATCTATGAGAAATATTACCATCAGGTGTAACAGGAATATCACCATCAGATACAAACGAATCTAGCGGAATTGGTTTTTTGATGACAAATCGCTTGACAATTTCATATCCTTTCTTTACCAACGAAATAACAGAACAATGCGCATCATCATTTTGTACAATATTCATCACGTATTGATTTACTATTGCAACGTATTTTACGCTAAAATTTTAGACTAATTACGTCAGGTAATTCTATAAAAAAAACAAATTTTATGTGAATACTTTGAAATTGTTTATTTTATGAAATGCATTGTTAAAATTTCACACTACATTGTTAAATAATAGTTTTTAAAAGACAAAAAAAGATTACTTAGTTAATAAATAGACTAAGCCAGAAGTTAGGCTATTTAATAAGTATTGATTGATGGCATTATTTCATTGTTTTTTAAATTGCTAAGCAAATATGACATTTTACATCTCATAAAAGAATAAAAAACTATTGACAGAATAATGTATCCTTCCTTTAAGGAACATTCTCTAATACATTTAATTAAGTATTTAAGTTATCTCATAGTAAGCATATATGTATACAATAAAGTAAAAATACACTGTCAAAACATGATAGGTCAAACATGATATTATGCAACAAATATAAGCAAGTAAAATATGTTGTTTTGCACGAAACACGTTTAACAGACGTGAATAAAAAAGAATTAACACGCATGAAACATATCATTACATGCATATTACATGCGTTAACATAAGCAAAACAAAATTATAAGTTTAACAGATTAGAATGAACTTTAAGTTATATAGCAAATAATTTGCATATTCATTCATGCATTTGTATGCTTTCTCACTTGGGCGGAAATTGGTAATCATTCCATTGTGCAAATCAATTTTGACAATGGTAATTGTTATATGCAAATTAATCGTCGTTTAGTTTCTTTTTTTTTTGTTTCACTTACATCGTTTCAGTGACTAAAGTATGTTATGACAACATTCATATATCATTTATTGATTGAATTTACAAAATGAATGATTAAAATATTACCAAACATTATCTTACTACACGTAAAATGCGTCAATTAAAACGTCTAAAATACGAAAAATTTTTTCACGCAACCATTACGTCACGATGATAAAGTGTTGATTTGAATGCCAAAATATTACTTTAAAAATTTTTTTTTGTGATAATGGAGAATTTAAAAACTTTCCCAAACAGATCATAAAGAGTATTTTCTTTTAAAACTTAAATTTCAACAAAAAAAATAGAGACTGAGTGAAAATTCACGTAAGTAACATTATATTTAAGAATAAACGATCACGTAACTTGTATACCTTGTTCAATATTATACTTTGATATGTTTCAATAATAGATATAAGATCATGTAAATTGTAAATGCTTAAAATTAATGTAATATACCTTATACTTTCATATAGTTACTAGTAAAAAGATGTTATTTCAAGAAAAATTATCGAAATTTATTAATAAAACAACATTGTATTATTCATTTTGTTCCAAAATTTTATTTGGATTAATTATTTGTGGCATTTTCAATGCTTTGATTTCTTTTTTTTTGCTCAAAATCTAGTCATTCAAACAATTTTCACGATTATTTATGCAATTATAATATTATTTTGAACTTATATACATTTCAAATACTTTAGATTTTCTTTTTTTTTGATTTTGAAAATTTTGATAAATTTAGTAATGACAATGGAATAAAATTTACTGATAGTACTGCTTAAATTGGAATAAAAAGTAAAACGTAAGTAACTAGTAGTACCGTTTAGATTGAAATAAAATTATTAAAAATAAATTATGTTGCTAAGCTAATTTAGCAAATAATTAGCAATATATCATGCTATAATTAACTGTTGTACTATAATTGATGTAAGCCTTAATAAAATGCTTTTTGGTAGCATTTACTAATAATTTATAATTTTTAAATATATATGTTTTTCTTTTTCTTGACAGAAATATTCTATTTTAATTAACCATAGAAGTATTTCATTACGTAAACTATCAAACGTATTGTTATT